ACAATTACATTTTAAGTAGCCGAGTTCACTCGGCGAGTCTTGAAATCAACTCACACTTGTCGTGGTGCGGGAGATCTTGCCTCGCCTCGTCTCGTGGCGAGGCAAGGAAACTTGGAGAGTCTATGATCTTTGGTCTATAGCTCTTTATTCGCACAGGGTATGTATGATGACATAGTTCTCTTCAGTGGAGGGTTAGCGACGTTTGCGTCGTGTTACTTGTTATTATTTTATTATTTTCATATGAGCACTTTATTGATTTCTTAGTAAGCTATTGGGTAGAAATTATTAGGAGTGGACTGGAGAATTGGATGCACTGTAATTCTGTGAACAAGAATACTATTCATTTTCGTATATTGAACAAAGTTCTGTCACTAGGTATTCATTGTAATCAAACTTGCCTATAGAAAGCTCTTCAACCGTATTGAAATTTCACGTTCCCTTAAGTTCTGGTTATCCAACGAACTTTTATTATCCTTGTCTTTGGTTGTAGATGTGGGTCTGTCAGTGTGGGTGGAAGTGTAGGTGTGGCTGTCAGTGAGAGTGCAGGTGTCAGTGAGAATGTGGGTACACGTGCTGGCGACAGTATGGCTGCCGGCGGAAGTGAGAGTATGTGTGTCATCGTGACGTGTGAATGTTGGTGTGAGAGTGTCTGTGTGGTTGTCAGTGAGTGGGTAGGTGTGAGTGTGGCGATGTTGCTATCGCGACGGGTGCTGGCATCGATGTGGGCCTCTGACAACAAGCAATACGCCCATCACTGTAACACGTGTTCTCTCATTTGCGAACATAAAATCGAAATTAAAAATCTATTAAATTCAATTTCAAATTGTTTTTTAAATTTAATTTATGAAAATTTGAAATAATCTTCAATCTGAAATTTTCGGTTTTTATATTTAAAGAAAATTACTCATTTTGACTTTAAAACAAATTGAAATTTCAGTTATATTTTTAAACTTCTTGAAATTTATAGAGTTCGCTAAAGATTGAATTTTATTATTTCAGTTTAACTATCTGCAATTTGTAGAGTGCGCTAAACTACAATAGAGTTTCTATTCTGTTTAATTACTGAAAATAGAGTTCACTAGATATTAAGTTTCACTATTTCAACTTAATGAACTGTAATTCGTAGAGTGCGCTAAAATATAGATTGCTTTTTTATTCTTAATTGACAACAATTTATAGAGTTCGTCAGACATCATTATTACTATGAATCCCATCAGCTGTTTTTGATTTTGAACAGACCATATAATTACCATAGTAAAATGGAATCGGACATTGAATGGAGATAATTAATTGGGATAAAAAAGCATTTATACACAACAATCATAAATACAAAAAATGATGTTCTAAACAAGACGGCTCTGAAATATAGATGTTAATGAGCGTCTTCTCCTGACGAACAAAGATTGATTCGCCCACATCAAAGTCAGAACAAATATCAAATTATCACAAGTTATGATAGCCGCCTTAAAACCACTTTGTCGGCAACTAAAATTATTCTTAATTTAGTTCAAATCGACGACCCTTGCTCGTACATTATGAGTACTACTTTGGCAATAGAAAAAAAAATCCAGCTAGTACATACTATTTTTGACTTCCATTGAAATTCTTCGAAGCTAGATCCAAAAGAAAATTTTAGTTCAACTAAAATTTAACGTTCTCTAAAAATTACAACAATAGCACCAAATTTAAAAAGCTCTTAGCGCAATCCCTTGCGGGATTAAAAATGTGAAACACGATGGATCTATTGTTACTTATTAAATGGAAATCCTTTTCTTGCGTTTCTTTGCGACACATTTGTAGCTAATCGTTTATCTGATGCCTTATAACTACAGTTTCTCTGTCATGATCGGTGATGGGTACCAGGGTTCTCTGTCACGGTCTGTGATGGGTACCAGGGTTCCCTGTCACGGTCTGTGATGGGTATGAGTTTTCTCTGTCACGGGCTGTGGGGGGACGGGGCGGGGGGGAGTGGGTCCAAAATTTCTACCCTAAACACTTCAACACTCCCTTCAGAACGTGTTTCACAAACACTTCTCCGACCAAAAAATTACATCCTCTGCAAATTGCAGTAAATATTAAATGCTCTCTGCTATCATGAACTTGCGTCCTCTACAAATTGCAGTAACTATTCAAAACCTTAAAAAACTTTTATTGTCAAAAGACTAACGACCTCTACAAATTGCAGCATGTCTAGTAAAAACATTAATTCAAAAAAAAAATTTCCTGAAAGACGATCTGAAAGGAGTGTTGAAGTGTTTACGGGTAGAAATTTGCACCCAACCCCCCCCCCCCCCCCCCCCCACACCGTGACAAAGAACCTTGCTACACATCACAGACCGTGACAGAGAATCCCGGGTACCCATCGCAGACTGTGACAGAGAATCCCGGGTACCCATCATAGACCGTAGCAGAGAATCCCGGTACCCATCACAGACCGTGACAGAGAACCCCGGTACCCATCACGGACCGCGACAGAGAATCCTGGGTGCCCATCACAGACCGTGACAGAGAACCTCGCTAGCCATCACAGACCTTGACAGAGAATCCCGCCACCCATCACAGACCGCGGCAGAGAATCCCGGGTACCCGATCATAGACCGTGAGAGAGAACCCCGGTACCCATCACAGACCGTGACCGAGAATCCGGGCACCCCATCGTAGACCGTGACAGAGAACCCTGGTACCCATCACAGACCGTGATAGAGAACCCCGGTATCCATCACAGATCGTGTCAGAGAATGCCGGTACACATCACAGAGTGTGACAGAGAATCCAAGCACGCATCACAGACCGTGACAGAGAATCCCGGGTACTCCATCGTAGACCGTGACAGAGAACCCCGGTACCCATCACAGACGGTGACAGAGAACCCCGGTACTCATCACAGACCATGAGAGAGAACCCCGGTACCCATCACAGACCGTAACAGAGAATCCAGGCGCCGATCACAGACCGTGACCGAGAATCCCGGGTATCCCATCATAGACCGTGACAGAGAACCCTGGTACCCATCACAGACCGTGATAGAGAACCCCGGTATCCATCACAGACCGTGTCAGAGAGTGCCGGTACACATCACAGAGCGTGACAGAGAATCCAAGCACGCATCACAGGCCGTGACAGAGAATCCCGGGTACCCCATCGTAGACCGTGACAGAGAACCCCGGTACCCCATCGTAGACCGTGACAGAGAACCCCGGTACCCATCACAGACCGTGACAGAGGATCCCGGGTACCCATCATAGACCGTGACAGAGAACCCCGGTACCCATCACAGACGGTGACAGAGAACCCTGGTACCCATCACAGACCGTGACAGAGAAACTGTAGTTGTAAAGCACCAGATAAACGGTTAGCTACATATGTATCGCAAAGAAATGGAACAAAAGAGTTTCCATTTAATTAGTAACAATAGATCCATCGTGTTTCATATTCTTAATCCAGAAATGGATTGCGCTCACAGCTTTTTTAAAACAATTTCCTTTCAATATTCGGTCCCAGTAATCAAATTTTTAAAAGTTGAATATAAATTTTAATCGTTTTACAAGAAATTCATAAAATTATCAAATTGAAATCAAAGAAAATTTCAAAAAATTTAATTTATTTAAAATTTATTTTCTTCATGTTCGCAAATGAGAGGTAGCCCTGTAACAACCTCACCTGCCAAACGGCAACCCTATAACACCCATGGACACCCTCCTTTCTGTTCTTCAACGTGAGTTCATTTAATTTCTACACATTCCTTTAACCTTCTCAACCGATTGATTTTCTAAAACCCTCTTGAATCTTCATCACTGTAATTCAGATTGCGTCCATCAGCGCTAATTCCCCATATATTACTCAGAAACCCTTGAGTTTTGCGAACTCCATTGAACTTCATAAAGTGCTTCACTTCCTGAAGAGTTCCACAATTTCTATAACTGCATCATCAATCAAATACACCTCTGCTCGCTGTCTCTATATTCGTAGAATCTCTAAAATTCCTATCGGTCGTTTGAATTGTTGGCTTTTCCACAATTTGCTGGACTTTCCATAATTCCATAGTCGATCAGACCCCTTATCCCTCCTTGTTTGCATGTCACTACAGTTCCCTGAATTGCCTTCAGTTTCTTAAATTGCTTGATTTTCCGCAGTTGGCTGAAATTTCCATAATTCCGTGGTTGATCAGACTCCTTATTCCTCATTGTCTGTATATCCCTTGAGTTCTTCGAGTTGCCTTCACTTTCTTGAATTGGTTCATTTTCCACAATTTGCTTGAATTTTCATAATTTCATGGCCGATCAGACCCATTATCAATTATTGTCTATATATCCCTATAATACTCAGAATTGCCTCCAGTGGATTGAATTGCTTGATTTTCCACAATGTGCTGGAGTTTCCATAATTCTGTCATCGATTAAATTCATGAGTAACCAGCGGCTGTAGGTAGCTAGAGTTACTTGAATTTCTAGAATTGCTAATTCTAAGATTCTAAGGTTATCTCATTTTAAGATGTTTTTTAATCTGTAAGTTCTCTTAGATATACCTAATAAGATTTGTTGCAGCAAAATGAAAATTTCTAGAGAATAGTCACATTTGCTTGGATCCATTTTTCGAAACATCAATTTGTTTTTTATCTGCTTTCTGTATATATACCATGTTGCATGATCACTTTACGAGGTTTCAGATTAGTTGTTCATTGAGGACTTGTGTAAAATCCATTTCTCCACTAACATGTGCATTCTAACCGTGAACACCGTCTTCATTTATCCTTAAATTACTAAAATTAGACTAGGTCTTTATTATGATATCGTTCTATCTATTTCTTTGCTTTGTAGTTATTTCTTGTCATATTCTTATCTAGATTTTCTCCCACCATCATACTTCAATTTACAGAAGGAAACATATTCCAAAAACAAACAACACGTGGACGGTCTGTAGGATCATCAAAAATGTTCCTTCTATTTATCTCCTTAGCAAGCATCTTCTCTCTGACCACAACTCAAACAGCAACGAGCTGTATGAAGTCATGGCAAAGTAGAGGTCCGAACAATATTGATCCTGTTTTACGTATGGACCCTACTGGAACTGGCGCAGCATCAGCAGTGTTTATGCGTGCTAATTCAAAAATACTTTTCTTAGGATCGGTTAATGGCGGAGTTTGGAGAACAAATAATTTTGATTCGCGGGCACCACATTACATTCCATTAACAGACAAGAATTTATGCCAATCGGTTAGTACACTAGCTGGTTCATTAGAAGATCCAAATTTTATTGCTTACGGTTAGTAAAACTTATATTACTACTAGTTAAATAATCTGATTCTTAGAAAGCGTTCACATGCTTGAAAAACCTAACAGTTTTCAATACAAAATTACGATCTGATAACTTTTCTCTCAAAATTTGTGATTCACTAATGTTTAAAAACCAAAAACTATTTGGTCCATTTTCTATGCATAATAATACTACAAATCTATAGGTGTCAGAAGAATAAAGTTTTTGATAAATCTCAGATACGACAGAATGCAAGACACTCTATTGGGGCTTTAAAAAGCTTTGATTGAAGATGGCCTTAGGTTACAAAGAAATTTAATGTTAATGCCACTTCTAATGCCTTTTATCTCCATTATATTAATTTCAAATATCGTTCGGCTATAGTTTTTTTCATCTATTCAAGTAGTTTATTGGCTTATTCAAGGTTTTTTGATGTCAAATATTTGTCAAATACTTTTTTTTGCAGCACAGTATTTAACTTATACTAATATAGTCGCTACAAAGTAATAATTGAGCGTTGGCAATACATTTCAGGTCGCTCTCAATATCTATATTAAAGTTATGCGAGATCTAATAGAAAATGTAAGAGAACTATGGCTACTGTCCCATCTAGACACATTACTCTCATTGGTGTTGAAAAACTATGTCATGTGTGCTTAGGATCGATTAATACAAAATGTCTAGGTAATGTGTTTAGTATGATACAAACTTCGACATAACGATAGCAGGTTAACGTATGGTTGTAGAGGAAGTTAACAAGTGAAAAAGAGTAATAGGCCCATGTGAATTTTATACAATGTCTAAACCATCATAAAAGCTGCACTTTCGCTGGTGAATATAAATGATTATACAATATATATGACCTTTATACGTCATTGTAAGATAGAAAAAAAGCCTTATTCTTTAATTTTCATTGTTACTTCAGAAGTTCAAGATTCGCTGAATGTACTCATGTTTGATCACTACAGATGATGCTGCTTAAATTAAGAGAGATTCCGCCAGACCCAGGGTTGCCAGATTGTCCGAATTAGTATGAATTTTCAGACTTTTCTAAGTTTTCCCGACTGCGTTCCGACTGTCCGAATTTATCCGAATTCTTGGATTTTTTCCGAATCGTAGTATTTTTTTAAAATTTTCTGCCCATTACAATTTTCCATATATATTTTGATAGATTTCATATGGCGCCATCTTTGTTTTCTTATAATCATTGGGTAATTGATTGTATTATTAGAAATAAGAGGAGAAGGGAGAGAAGAGAAGATTTAATATAATCTTTTTTTCAAATCTTTTCAAATTTTTTTCAAATTTATTAGAATAGCTTCAATCAATATTTAGTCAAATGAATCATCTATAGTCTACACTCTAAAAAAAAAAAGGTTTCCTCGGAAACCGATACCCCTTCGGAAACCTTTTCGCAAACCTTTCTAGGTTTCCGGAAGGGTTTCCGAACTTATGTTGAGTTTCTGACAATACCTTGAGGGTTTCCGAGCATCCGGAAACCAATGGATTTTGGAGAGAGCGGATTCGGAAACCCTCAACCGTATTCTCGGAAACCGCTTTTGCTTTGAAAACCTTTTCGGATACTCATTGCGTATCCTCGCATACCTTTGGGTTTTCGATATTTTTTTATCGAAAACCCTTTTGGGTTTCCGGGCATCGGAAACTGTCGAAGCGTTTTCCAAAAATCTAGCAAGGTTTCCGAACATAACTGGAAAACCCCTTAGGGTTTCCGAATGTTGCGAAAACCTTTGAGTTTTCGAGAAAAAGTTTCGAAAACCCATTAAGTAGTATGCAAAACCCGATTAGCATTCCAATATGATCTTTTTTATTCTCATGTTCTATCGTGTGATTTTCAGGTAAAGCGGTGCTCGATATGCATGACATAAACCTTACCTAATTTGTGTGAAGTTGCTTTGTAAAACATAAGAAATCTGAGAAGTGTAAAAGAAGGCCTTGTTCCCAAAAGAATTCTAATTCGTTTTTATATTTCAAATAGCCTAAAATTTGGATGTATTATGACACACTTTACTGTGAAAATCGAAGAGTCGCGCTAAATTGGATGGTCACTATATGCCCTCTAAAGGCATCGTAGTCAAGCAATTTCGTGCCGAACTTAGGTTTTTCTTCCCTCGTTATACTATGGACACATGTTCACCAATATGAAATTCAGATCAACGTTAAGAAGTTAGATTAAGGGTTACAATAAGCGGACAGATATACATTAAAGAGTTAGAAGAAGACCACGGAATAAGACATTACAACAACGAGTTAGAATAAGGGGATACACATAGATTAAGGACTTAGATTAGCACGATACATTTAGGGATAGATATAGATTAAGGAGTTATATTAGAGGATAGAATAAAGGGTAAAACAAGAAAGTAGAATAAGGGGACAGATACAGATCAAAGACGAACAAACTGATTTCCGATTTCTTGATTTCTAGTGATTTCCATGATTTCTGACGATTTCGAGTTAGAGGAAGTCCGCTACCGTTCCGTTGCCAAATAACCGGTAACGAAAAGTTTGTGAGTTTCATTTTTTTGTTAGGATAAGGGTATTTTCAAAAAATAACGATTTTCTATAAAGTTTAATCAAAGGTTATCGAGGTCCAGGAATTCGAATCTATAAGTCGTTTTACAAAATTTGTGAGTTTCAGTTTTTTTGTTAGGATAAGACTATTTTCAGAAAATAACGATTTTCCATAAAGTTTGACTGAAGGTTATCGAGGTCGAGGAATCCGAATCTATGAGCCGTTTTACAAAATCTGTGATTTTCATTCTTTTGTTAAGATAAGCCTATTTTCAAAAAATAACGATTTGCTATAAAGTTTGGCCAAAGGTCATGGGGGTCCAGGAATTCGAATCTGTGACTCGCTTTTCAAAATTTATCAGTTTGATTTTTTCGGCCACTGAAGGCCTATTTTGCAGAAATGCGGATATTCCCATAGAGCTGGCAAAACTATGAGAACTTGCTTCACCCTGACGAAAAAATCGAAACTCGAAAATTTTTCGAAATCACTTATAGATTTGGTTTGCTCGACTCCGATAGCTTCCGATCAAACTTTATACGAAAATCATCATTTTCGGAAAATACACTTGCCATAACGAAAAAATCAATCTCACAAATTTTTCCTTCTCAGATAACAGTGATTTCTTACCCCTACTATGGATATCAAAATTCTGACAAGCCGAGATATACACACAATAGCAATGATCTCTATTAATTTCTGTTGATTTCAAATTGATTTCTGGCATAAGAAATCAGTTTCTTTCCCCTTGATATCGATGAAGAAGTTAGATTAGCGGTTAGAATAAGGGAGAGATATAGGTTAACGACTTGGATTAGAAATTAGAACAACAGAGTAGAGTGAGGCCTCAAATGAAGAGGTTAGAATAAGCAATGGAATAAGAGATTAGAATAAAGGGATAGATTAACCCTTTGGGGACGGTTGGCCCCTTAAGGGGCCATGGTGATTCTCTAGCATTTCAAAACACACAGATTCCTATATGAGATCAGTTTTTATGAAAGCATTTATCCGAGAGTTTTTTGGCATAATTTGGATTGGAATTAGGTTATTTTATTCAGATATCCAGTAATGGATAATAAGCTCTTTTAGACAATAAAAATGTTGATTGATTTATGATGAACTATACAGAAAAAAAAACCCGTCTCCAAAGGGTTAAGGAGTTAGAATAAGGGGTTAGAATAAGGGGACAGATCAAGGGATTATAATAAGTGGTTAGAATAAGGGGACAGATGAAGGGATTCTAATAAGGGGTTAGAATAAGGGGACAGATGAGGGGATTATAATAAGGGGTTAGAATAAGGGGACAGATGAAGGGATTATAATAAGGGGTTAGATTACGCGGTTAGAATAAGGGATTAACATAAGGGGTTAGAATAAGGGGATAGAATAAGGATTTAGATTAAGGGGTTAGAATAAGGGGATAGAATAAGGATTTAGATTGAGGGATTACAATAAGGATCTCGAATAAGGGGTTAGAATAAGGGGATATATTAAGGGGTTAGAATAAGGGATTAACATAAGGGGATAGAATTAGGATTTAGATTAAGGGGTTAGAATAAGGGATTAACA